TTCTGCTGCATACAATTTCATTGTGTAAATGTACTGTAGTTTTTTGATCCCTAGGTGCCCCTGATGGGCACCTAGGTTGCTTCCAACACTTGGCTATTGCAAATTGTGCTGCTATGAATGTTCGGGTGCATAGGTTCTTTTGGGTTGGTGTTTCAGGGTTCTTAGGATATAGTCCCAGCAGTGGAATTGCTGGGTCAAAAGGCAGATCCATTTTTAGTTTTCTGAGGAAGTTCCATACTGTTTTTCATAGTGGTTGTACCAGTCTGCAGTCCCACCAACAGTGCACTAGGGATCTCTTTCTCCACAACCTCTCCAACACTTGTTTGTTGCTTTGTTTATGATGGCCATTCTGACTGGTGTGAAGTGGTATCTCATTGCGGTTTTAATTTGCATCTCTCCGATAGCTAGCGATACTGAGCATCTTTTCATGTGTCTCTGGATCCTCTGTATGTCCTCCTTGGAGAAGTGTCTGTTCAAGTCCTTTGCCCATTTTTTAATTGGGTTGCTTGTCTCCTTAGAGTGGAGTCATGTGAGTTCTTTATATATTTTGGAAATTAAACCCTTGTCTGAGGTATCATTGGCAAATATGTTTTCCCATACTGTTGGTTCTCTTTTTATTTTAATGCTGTTTTTTTTAGCCATGCAGATGAGATCCCATTTGTTTATTCTTTCCTTTATGTTCCTTGTTCTAGGGGACATATCAGTGAAAATGCTGCTGTGTGAAATATCTGAGATTTTCCTGCCTGTGTTCTCCTCTAGGATGTTAATGGTGTCATGGCTTATATTTAAATCTTTCATCTACCTTAAATGTATTTTTGTGTATGGTGTAAGCTGGTGCTCAAGTTTCATTTTCTTTTTTTTTTTTGCACGTAGCTGTCCAGTTCTCCCAACACCATTTGTTGAAGAGGTTATTTTTACTCCATTTTATGTTGCTGTCCCCTTTGTCAAATATTAACTGGCCATAGAGACTTGGGTTTATTTCTGGGCTCTCTTTTCAGTTCCATTGGTTTATGTGCCTGTTTTTATGCCAGTACCAGGCTGTTTTGATTACAGTAGCCTTGTAATACAGTTTGGTATCAGGTATTGTGATCCCTCCTACTTTGTTGTTCCTTCTCAAAATTGCAGCAGTTATTCAGGGTCATTTATGGTTCTATATAAATTCTTGAAGTGTTCTATGTCTGTGAAATATGCCATTAGTATTTTAATAGGTATTGCATTGAATCTGTAAATTGCTTTGGGTAGTGTGGACATTTTGATGTTAATTCTTCCTGTCCATGAACACGGTATATGTTTCCATTTATCTGTGTCTTCCTTGATTTCTTTCTTCAGTGTTGTGTATAGTTTTCTGCGTACGGGTCTTTTACCTCATTGGTTAGGTTTATTCCTAGGTATTTTATTTTTCTTTTTGCTATATCGAATGGGATTTTTTTTCTTGATTTCTGCTTCTGCTGTTTCATTGTTGGTATACAAAAATGCCTTTGATTTCTGGATATTGACTCTGTATCCTGCTGTTTTGCCAAATTCATTTATTAGGTCAAGCAGTTTTTTGGTGGAGTCTATAGGATTTTCTACGTATCCTATCATGTCATCTGCAAACAGTGACAGTTTTGTTTCCTCCTTTCCGATTTGGATGCCTTTTATTTCCCTTTCTTATCTGATCACTGTGGCTAAAACTTCCAATACTATGTTGAATAGAAGTGGTGAAAGTGGACAGCCTTGTCTTGTTCCTGATCTTAGTGGAAAAGATTTTAGTTTTTGCCCATTGAGTTATGTTGGCTGTAGGCCTCTCCTCTATGGCTTTTATTGTGTTGAGGAATGCTCCCTTTATTCCACTTTGCTGAGTGTTTTTATCATAAATGGGTGCTGTACCTTATCAATTCCCTTCCCAGGGAATCCACTCCCTCCTACCTCATTGCCATCTTCCTCAACAATAGTCTTAGGTCCTTCCAGCCGAAAGAATATGATGAAAATATGTAAACCACTTAGCCGAGCATGTGGCATCCACTAGGTGCTGAGAGGGTAGCTGTTCTTTCTGTGAACAAGAGCATCTCTTCCCTAGTCACGAGTTCCTCACTTACAATTCCTCACTTACAATTTCTCACTTACAAGTCCTCACTCTCCTTTACATACTGATGTGTTTCTTGTTAAAAAAGGGAACTTAGTGTTCAATGCAAAACATAACAATATGGCTTTGTTTAAAAAAAAAACACCAGAAATTGAGGACGTAGAGGTCAACACAGAATGACCTCATCCTTCTTTCCTAGGCTTTGGGAGGGGCAGATTGTGTATGAGCATGAGTGACAAGGGTCCCTGGGGCCTTTTCTTGTGGTTCAGCCCTAAGGGGTGGGTGGGTGGGTGGCTGGCCTGAGGGAGTGCCCAGCAGACACGGGACCTCAGCACTCTCTGTGATCCAGCATCCTAACAAGAGCCAAAGTGGGAGGCTTCCCTGTCCCTGTGTCCTTCAGGTTGTCTCCCCTGGAGGAGGATGGGTAGGGGCAGCTAAGAAACAATGGCACAGAATTTGAACCCAAGACTTTCTGGGCTCCAAATGACTTGATGGTTTCATAGTACCGCATTGCGCTTGGCAGGGCGCAGGGGCCATGGACAAGAGAGAGAGTCTTTTAGAGTAAAAATAGCGAGAAATGAGGAGCAAGCTGCCACCCAAACATGCAGCCACAAAGACACACAGAGCTCCCTTTGACCACACTCCAGGCCGTGTTTCCCCTGCCCGCTAGGACAGGGCACCGCAGGCATCTGCCTTTGACTGGAATGGGCTGCGGCCCGGCCCAGACGGGACACATGCCTGTGGTCCCAGGCCTCCTGCACGCCCCAAGAAATGCCATTTACAGATGGGGAAGACAGAGCAAATGTGAGAAGACAGGAAGGAGAAAAGTCAACAGACACATGGCAGGCATCCTGGGAGGTAGGGTCACTGCCCGGGGAGAGAAAACAGGCCTCAGCCATGGGTCAGGGCGCTCACACAGAGGCCCCGAGGCCCGGGTTGCCTGGAGGAGCCATGCTGGGCCGGGCGGGGAGAAGAGCTTTGCCATGTGTGCTGTGGCTTCCGAGGAAGCCTGGCTGCTGGGAGCCTGGGAAGCCGAGCTGAAGGAAAACGGGGGAGAGAGGGGCAGGTCACATGGGAGCACATGACCTTCACAGAGGCCAGGCCCTCGGGTCTCCTCCTGCTCAGGCCTCCCCCTGGGCCGGACGCAGCCTGAGTACGGGGTCAGCAGAGACCTGCAACTTGGTCCGGGAGAACACTCTGGCCAGGAGTGGCCCACGGAAGAGATTCACGGGGTCCTGGCAAACGCAGGGGAGTGAGTGCCGCAGACCATCTTTGTCGTTTCTGCCTTTCTAGTTAAAAACAGTGCTGTTGGCCTGCTGGTGCTTTGAGTTGCTTGTCTGGGTATGGAGATGGCTTCCAGCGGCTTCCCCCACAGTCTTGGGGCCGGCTAATTGGCCACCAAACAGCGCCTGCTCTGTTCAAGACAGCAATGAAGGAGTGAAGCCAGGCCCCTCCGTTAGCCCCCTGGATAAGGGGCAGGTCTTCCCTGTCTGTGCAGATCATCTGTTGCCCATGAAAACCCTCATCTGGGATCCATCAGGCATTTTAAACAGGCTTACCTCAGGGACCTGTGTAACAGGGGCCAGGCTTATCACAGCCTCTGTTTACTTGTCTGGCCCAGTTGATACTAGTTCACTTATTCATTTCTTCATCCCATAGGTCTGTATTAGTTAGTGCCCCGCATGCACTGGGCCTTCCAGCGTGTGCTGGTTATTGGGCAGACAGTGGTGCACAGGCTGGACTCAGCTCCTTGTCGCATGTGGCTTCTGCCCTCAGTCTGCAGAGGCCTCTCTGACTCCTGTCCAGGTGCTCCAGCGGGGCTAATCCCTGGAGAGGGGACAAGGGGCAGGAAGTGCATCCCGGGCCCCAGTGCTGCACTGCTGCTGAGTGTGAGCTCGGTAGGAGAGGTTTGCTGCGGGCACTCCTGGGGCCACGTTTGCGGAAAGGCAGGTCTCCGAGGGCTGCCACTCATAACACCCAGATTTTAATCCTGCCTTAACCTTGATGATGCTGTGACAGAAGTTGACAATGCCCACTAATAGTCAGTGTCTAATAGAAGGGCTGTGGCTTGTTGTGCTAAGCCCTCTTGCCAGAAGCTGCGAAGACTGATAACTCGAGGTCTGGAATGGCTCTGATGCTCACCTGGCCCTTGATGAGGGCCAGCAGATACAGTACACAAACAGGTCCTTCCTTTTCTGGCTGCCTGCCGTGGCGGGCAGCGCTGAGTCACCTGCTGATCACGTGGTCTCTTTCTCAGGAAAACCACTGAAACCATCACACTGGGGGTTTAGGGTTGCAGTGTGTGAGTTTTTGGGGAGCCAGACATTCAGACCATAGCAAGGCTTGTATGCCGACCTTGGGCCAAGGTCCAGGGCCTCATTCCGCAACAGGTGGCACTAGAGCCAAGTTCATTAGAACCACAAGAGCCCCAGCAGCTGTTCGAAAAGTGGGTTTCTGGGCATCACCCCGCAAACCTACTTTTGGGAGCAGAGTGTGCAGGTTTGGGACCTCAGAATTTTCATTCAGAAAGCTGCTCAGGTGAGTCTTCCACAGGTACCACTATCACTTTCCTGGGGACCGGGATGCATCCTCCATGTGTTTCTTTCCTTTTTTCCTTTGGACATGTCAAAGGGAGGGTGTTGAGTCCTGTCAGAAAGCCTTCTTGAGGCTCTGTGTGCGGGATTGATTTTGACAGAGACAATTATTTTCAAGTAAAAGCCTTCATTCTTGCTGCTCATTCTTGTCTAATAAATTGTTGGCTCTTGGTAGGTGTAAGGGGCTGCATCAGGTGGGAGTTGGGCCCGCAGGCTCTGGACGCTTGCTGTCCCGGTTCACGTCCCAGCCCTGCCCCCCACTGGTGGTGAAGCCTGACGTGGCAAAGCCGTGAGTGTACGTCAGAGGCTGTGAGACAGACGTTTGCCTTCCGCCTCCACAGGTGTTTGCTGCATGGCCTGGAAGGAGTTCCCGATTCCCTGTGGGCGTTGCCTCACGCGTCTGAGAGCCTGGAAGTGAATACAGCCTACTCTGAAAGGGTAATTGTGAGTTATTGGAGTTAATGCACATTAAATGCCAAACAGTGCCCAGCACATGGTAAATATTCAACAAACATTAATTCCTCATTCCTGCCTTCAATTGAAAATGATTTTTCGTTCTCCCCTCAGCTTTCTGCATCAGCAGGAGGATTCCTCGTGTGTGTATCCTGCCATTGTTGGTCTCATTTTTCATTCCTTAATCATTTTTGTGGTGTTCTGCTGAATTCGCTCCAATTTCCTCCAGTCTTTCTGTTGTGGAACTAGACTCAGACTCCCTAGGGCCAAGCAATGGGAGAATTATTGCAAAATTCCTGCACTGGCACTACCGTTTGTGCACACCTGTGTGTGCCTTCTGAGTGACAACCTAATCCTGCTGACACCTGCGAGCTGGCCGGCCTCTTGGGCCATTCGTCTGCCTCTTTAGACGTGTGTGCATTCTTTCTAGTTGTACAAGTTCTCTGTCCCCCAGGTTTTTACAGTGAAGGATTTTCCATGATAACTGATAAGGAGATAGAAATGTTTAAACAAGTGCAGGAGACAGATACAGACAGGCGTGAGAAAGCTATCGTTTACAAAAATACCCTGGAAGGAGATGGGAACCAAATGAAGAGAGATTGCATAGAAAGTTGGAGGGCAGGTTTGGGCGACACTAACCAGCCCTGGTGGCATGCTGGCAAAGTGATGCAGTGGGGAAGTGAGAAGGCCAGCCCACCTGTTTGGACTCATGGCCAGTCTGCCCTTGGGGGTCCTCCATGTGGGGCCCTGAGGCCAGCCCCCTGGTAAGAAGCAGGAGGAGAGGGCAGTCATCGGAGCCTGGGCCCTCAGAGCAGGTAGACCTTGATTGGATCCTGGCTTCACACTCACTGTGTGGAATGACTGTGGGGAAATGACCCCCTCAGTTCCACAAGGGTAAAATTGTCAAGTTGGCAGTGATGATGCTCCCTCTTGCTAGGAGTGTGTTGTAAAGTGATACATATAACACGTTGAATGCAGGGCCGGACACATCATAAGTGCTCAGTTACTGTTGTTGATAAAGAAGATATTACCTACCTAGAATATCTGGTTGTCTGGTTATAGATGCATACATACAGGACTGCATGTCCATGGAAAGCTAAAATACATGCATATGTATGTATACATACACACATATATAAGCATTCATGTATATGTGCACACATATATGAAAGCACATGTGTGTTTTAACTTTTCCTGCACATGCAGTTACGTCCTGGAGATGGCTTATGTGCATTTCTTCCCACCTCCGGGCTCAGTGACATCATGTTGATAGCTTGGCCGTAGTGGGGATATTTTATAGTGTGGAAATTGGCGGAAAAAATATCAAGGGTTCCCCCCTTTCAGAGAGCCAATTTACTGGCACACCACCGTGCATGTGTGCCTTGCGTCTTCAATTACACTCTGAGTTCCTCTAGGGCTCAGGGTGTGCTGGATCCCCCCTCCCCCCAGGGCCTGCCTGTATCTTTGTGCGGCAGACTTCAAAGGGCGGGCAGCATCCATAGGAGGAAGGGTGAGTGGATGAAAGCAAAGGGGAGGGGAGAGCAGAAAGGGACTTAACAAAAGGGAAAGCGCAAGGTGTTTCATCAGAACTGGTAGAGGAGTCGCTAGGGAGGGGCTGGGCTGAAGGAGCAAGAGAGGGAGCATTTGGGTGGATGGATGACTTGGTGACAGGAAAGATGGAATCTAGAAATAAAAAATCCAAACAGAAAATGAAATTTAGGACGAGTGTGGATTCCACATGATGTCAGGCCACTGCTGGTAGTGTATTTTCTGAGTTTCATTGTTTGAGGTGAGTGGCATTTACTCAAAGCGTTGAGAGGGTTAAGCAGTGTTTTATAGGATCAAAAAATTGGAATCAGTCTAATGTGTCCAGGAGTAGGGAACTTACAAAGTAAATAGGATGCATTCATTTTGTAGAATAGTTTGAAGCATAGAAAATGAGGGAAAGTTCTAATAAAGCGCAGTCAGAGCGATGATAAAAAGCATGGAAAACAAGGGTGATGTTATTCACGATGTTAAGGGGGAAGAAGGCAGGTTGGAAACAGTATTGTAACCGTTTTTTTGTAGCAGTACGTACGTATAGAGAAATGTCTGGGAGAGTATACATTAAAACAGAAGGTAATTACTTCTGGCAGGGAAATTTTATTCCTCCCCTTTTTGCTTATTGGCATTTTTCTGTTTTCTATTTATAATACTTTTTAAAAATGGAAATGTTTACAATGTTTTCCTCCTCTCTCTCTAATTATATGTGTGTGTGTGTATATATACACACACATATATAGATACATGTGAAATATGCCCATATATATATAATACAGGATGGGAGAAAAATAGGTTGTGATAAAAAATAGGTTGCAAAATACAGTTTATTCTTGTGGTATCATTTATTATTCCATTATTTTCCATATGAACAACTGTAAACCTACTTTTGCCCCACCCTGGATTTTCTATATATGTATTTATATATCATAGATATTTTACATGTATTTGTCTTGACTGACTTTGAAGGTCATGTTTCCCTAAGATTGCTAGCAAACTGGCTAAGCAGAGATTCTCTGGGCCATCAGAGGATTTGCTCTGATTTGTGAGTTAATCTATGTAAAAAGTCTTACATTGATTTAACAGAGCACAGCTATAATTCTTGAACACATAGCAAATTGCTTTGATTGAGAAAAAGTCAGCCCTATAAAATCTGGACTGTCCTGCAAAATCACAGAGACTGCACCAGTACTGGGTAGCAGGCATGTTGCATTGTGGAATGGGGACTCCCCAGAGCAACCCGAAAAGCTAGAAGCTTCCGTCAGAATAGCAAGATGAGTTCAAACACCCTGGCCTCCCAGAAGCGCCGCGCTGGCCACCTGTCTCCCCCACCTCCAGGGCCACGGCAGCTCCTCTGGATTCAGTGTCTAATGAGTGGCAGGTGCTAGGATGTGGCAGATCCAGACTCACAGATAGAAGGTGCATTTCTGCCTTCAGGGAGCTGGTTTCCTGGGAGGTAGACCTGTGAACTGAGATTCCCAATAAAGAGTACCTCGAATGAACAGATGCAGGAGACACAGTCAGTTGCTCAGTCCATCTTCTAGGACCACAGTGGAAGAAGCACTGGGAAGTTTCTTCCTATCACTTTCCTGAAAGACAGCGGTGTGGTATCAAGGAGCCTGCACTCTGGAGCCCGAGGGGAAGAGTGTGAGTTCCAGCTTTGTGTGCATATTGGGTTACGTAACTACTCTGCACCCAATTTACCAATCTGTGAAATGGATGTACTGCGAGTCCCTGCCGTGGAGGGTCGTTGTGAGGATTAAATGAGGTAAATATGTGTGAGGCGTTCACTGCAGAGTCTGGCTCCTAGGAGGTGCCGTGGCAATGTTTGGTGAAATAATAATTATTCGTTGGCTTCTTGCTTTGTCTCCTCCCTTCCTCCTGCCATTCTTTTCTCTTTTTTTTCTCCCCCTTTTGAAGCTCTGCCTCTGTCATCCTTCCCACAATGTAGATTCCATAATCCAAGGATTGATCCCTATATCCTGAAAGAAAATCGAATCTTTGAGACTTCTTTCTTCCAGGAGAAGACCTTACCTTTTGGTATTGGTGTTGACAGAAACAGGTCGCTTCTTCACATATCTTAATAAGTGAATTAAGTAAACACATTTCTTATTTATTTGTTAAGCGAATGCTTATTTATTTCCCTCAGCACCTTCTACATGCTGGGCATGAGACTGAGTGTTTTCCTACATTACTTTATTTCATTGTGTTATCTGCTCAATTGCAGAAAGGTTAAGTGCCCCAATCAAGGCCATCGGGTATTAGTTCCTGCCTTGGTGGTCAGTACGAGAGCTGGCGTCACACAGATGAGCTGCTTGCATTGTGATGTGGGTCAAGCCCAAAGCCTTTCTGCTAAAGTCCCTCGGTGACAACACAGCTGTAACTGTCCGTTGATTTGCTGCAGCTCTTAAGAATTAACCAGCCCATAAATTAGGGAAAGAATATTCTGCATCAGAAGAGAAATATTTCATTATTTTTATAGCAGTCTATATACAATAGGATCACTCTTGACAAAGGGACCTCCATCTTGGTATTAAGATTATTAATTAAGGAAGGAAGAATATTATGTGTGCGGGTGGACTTGGACAAGTGGTTTTAGAATCCTTCAAATAGTTGCCTCACTTACGATGTGGGGAAAGTGAGGTTTTCAAACTCAGGTTTGCTGTGAGGCTTACAATACCTACTACATGCAAACCAATTAGCCTGGAGACTCGCTCTGAAAGAGGTCAGTATTTTTGTTAAGATCTACTCTGTTGAACTCAGCAGGCTGTTTTAATCTTCCTGCTCATGCCTTTCTTCCATTGAGTGTTTTTCTCTATTTTCTGATTTCACCTTTTCCCCCATTTTCTCTTTTCTCCTCCCAGTGAACAGAAGTTGGACTTCTTGGATAGATTCTTCAAACATCTTTCTCTTATATTTGAAAAATCTTACTTTTTTATGTACTAGAGATTTCATTTTGATTTTCTTCCTTCACACGGTTGCTTTTCCTTAAGTATCTAGTGATCTCATTTGCTTTCTGTGGTCTAGAAATTTGTTACTGTATGTAGTCTGTGGGTAGTGTGCCTTGTTTTCTAGAGATTTTATTCTAAAAACAATAACAACAACAACAAATCTATTTATGATCTTTAAGAGATATGGGCAAGAGTGTAAGTAGTTAATATCTTAAGTCATCCTTTTGATCCCATTTATTGATTCCCACCCCAAAGATGCTTTTAAGATAACTTGTGCATTTTTTGTGGATTTCAACGTTCATGTTCTCTATAAACATTTTGGAAGGTTAGAAGAAATGCAAGTAGGAAAATAAACATTGCCATTAGTTCCACCACCATTCCAGAGATATTAACATTTTCTTGTTTATACTTTTAGTTTCTTTATGTATGTGAAAAAGTAGAATCTTGCTATACATTTGCTTTTGTAACATGTTATACTTGTTTTACATATATTGT